CGTTAGCCTGGCTGTGATTGCACGCAATAGTGGCGACAACAAAACCAAAACGTGGTGACGCTCAATCAAACTGCCGCCAAAAGGCAAACAAAATGCATAGAAATCGCAATTGCTTGACTTTTATACATATTATTTCTCCCATTTCGAGTGGATTTCAGAATGAAAACCTTATGGCTTGTGTACTGAAAGTAGGCTTGCCAGCTTGACGGGATTTGGCTGAACTGTCCAGATATTTGGCTTCATGACCAGAGCCCAGATTTTCAAAAGTTTGTCCAATAAAATTAAAAAAAGAAAAAAAAAAAAACAGTCTTAACATTTAGGACAACGAAATAAGTGTTGATGGTAGGTTTTTAGAAAAATTTTCAACAGCTTGGAAAATGCTCCTAACTACTCTGGCTGACTGTTAATAGCAATAACAAGTTTGTATATGTGGAACTAAAATTTTAACTTATTTTTATTTTTATTTTTGCAACATTAGAAAAAAATCTTATACAAACAATACAATGTTTGAATTTATGGTATCGAATCCTCGACTAAAAAGATCAAATTTCTTGTTATAATAGGAATTGTAACAAAAAAGTACACATAGTGGACGCCCTGAAATTATTACTTCTTTTGTCTTTGGTGTAAAAATATATTATATTTCTTATACGCATATTTTTTCTTGTTTTTATTGATGGCTAAATTAATATACAATAAATATGTAAATTTTTACTTTTTTGTGAGGAAAAATCAACCGGTTTTATTTGCCTATATCCAGATATTTTTTCCAAATTTCCAGGTGGTTGCCAATTACTATTTGGCAGCCCTATGGTTATGGTTATGGTTTTTTAACGGTATGTATTCAGGACCATTGCACCGCGACCAAATTTGATCTATTGTTCCCGCTATATCAAATTTAGTTGTTCAGTATACACAATAATTGTATATACCCCTGCTGCGAAATCTGCATTAGGTCGATATCGCTGAGCGTATAGTCGTTTAAAAATCTGGCTCTGAGGTGAACTAGTGTTGGGCAGCTGGTGTGAGGTGTTCCACTTTTTACTCTTCTTTACCACAGAACCTGCGGATATCTGTACTACAGAGACCAAGCATATGCATCAGTTTTTACTTTTGTTTTATTTAACAGCTTAATTTCCAAGGGTAAAGAATGTAATAAAGCATTTCACATATTTTTACAAAAAAAAAATTTTATTGAACAAAAACTTTGTTAGTTTGTAGGGAAGTGCCATAATATTAATAGAATTGAAAAACGTTTTGTTGTTCTTAACAACCATATACTATATTAACAATCGATTTCGATGAGCTCCCAGATCAGCAAACAAAAATTGATCGATCACTTTCAAGTTACTTTACACTTTCAAATCTTATCTCGAAGGCATAAAAAAAATTGTACAGGTACAGCATCTTAACTTGGAGATTTACTTTTTTTATTATTTTCATGGGCATGAAATGGTACCGTAACTTTAGTCCGCTATTTGAAAGTACCACAAGCCGAAGCCATTATTTATTTCGTTTTCATTCTGCGTGCTTTTGTTGGGGGTTCTTGTTGGTTCTTTGAACAAGCTATCATAGGTTTCTAAAACTTTTCTCTAAATTTAATCAATTTCCCGTGCGTTTAAATAGGCTTGGGTTTAATTTCTCGATAAGCACTTTATATCCAAAATGTCCGCCGTCGGATTCGACCTACTTATTTGTCTACATTTCTTAATTCTTATAGAAATAAAGTAACAAACCATCATTGGTTTCCAAACTTCTTAAAAGGAAAGGTTTTACGTTGAATCTATATACTTGACTATTTCACTGTAGCTCACCACAAATACTTCTCATCTGAAGGGATCAATTCGCTCGCGCTCAGAAAAATGTTGTCCTTTCAATGGCTTCGCAAAAATCCACCGCCATCAAGCCAAGCATTGCCACATATTTTGCTAGTTGACATTTGACAGTTTTGAGTTTAATGGCGCATGACAGATGGTTATGACTATCTAACTACATACAATACAAGAGCCAATCTGTGAGTGCGGTGTTTCTGGAGTGTGATAGCGAAATGATTATTGAATTTTAAATGGCATTAAAAGTGAACGAGAAAGTGGCGTGTAGAATATTGCAGTGATTGAGTTGGCAATAAAAAAGAAAAGAAAGACGGAATGAATGAATAACGTTTTATTGCCGACTAAATTCTAGAGCAGGGGGACGGTGGTTGAGATTGCATACTAGAGAGGTTGTGGTTGCCTTTCTTAACTCTCCAAAAGGGAATGTCCCATTAAGTGCAGGGAATGGCAATTGTAAATTGTAAATGTGAATAAGAATTGCTGTTTTCTTAACATTTGTTGACTGTTTTTAGCTTACGTTTATTGCGAAAATACCCTTCTTGTATGATTTCTATTTTTCCTATAGATTCGTATTACTAAATATTTTGGAGGGGTATGTGGTTTCTCGAAAATTTTCTAAACGATTTTTATATTTTCTTTATGAACAGGTAATAGCTTGATGAATGGCTTGGGTATTGACCCTGGCAAATAGATCAATCCAGCAGCTGACTGGCATACTAATGAGGGATAATCAAGCGCGGGCAGAAAAGTATGAAATGAAAGCAAACAATACGAGGAATTTGAGCGCTCATATCTTTTGTTAAATAAATATAAACATACACATGCTTGTAGAACACTAAATTTGTCTGCCCTTTAAGAATTTTTAGTAGTGGTTGAAACGGAGACATAAAATACATATGAAAATATAGAGTTTTATTTTCCCTCAAAGCGGATGAAATATACATACACACCTATGTCTGCATATAACGAATCTATAAATTATGTTTGTGAATGAAAAGATAGCGTAGAGAATGCGAAACATGCAAGAATGAGGAAAATAGTTGGCATAGGAGAAAAATAGACGGCTTGCGAAGTGCGCACTTTCGCGATAGCAATTTTAGAGCTTCGTCAAATGCAAAGTAATCTAAAGCTTGATAGCCGCGCCAAAAAATTGAAGCTTTCTAATAAATTTTTTAGTTTTTATGGTAAAAATGTAAAAGAATTAATATATGAAATATGGGGCATTCCAAAGTGACGGATGCGATATTTTAATTCGTTTTTGCTCAAACTTTTAGTAAATTCTCTTTAACTGTTGATTTGACAAGTGTCAAACTATTAACACTTGAAGTCTGATATCAGTTTAATACGAAACTGAACAAGAATAAAACTTAATTATATAATTTACGCATAAATTTAACATTTTCCAATCGTGACGGGTGGGACAACGATGGCATCCACTTCTCTGAGTTGCAGCCCTGTTGCAAATAGTTTCAAACTATAACCTTATTAAACTTTTTCGTCTGACACCCATATCGTTATATGTATTTCAGTTACCTAATTCCCTCGAATTAAAGTTGAATTTAATTTTTAAACAGATGGTAATCTTCCCACATGTTGTTTTGAAATACTTGAAGGCTTTTCAAAATCATTTCGATCGATACCGATTGTAGTAATTCATTTAACTTAATTGTATTTAATTTTTTAGAAGGTGGCAACACTTTCCATGTTATATCCCAGATATAAACTTTCTCCTCGCCGATAAAACACGTAGGTATCAATGTTTCATCAATCGGACCACGATAATTCTATGTCAAACTTTAAGCAACTTTATTTTCGTTATTTTGGTGGAATACTTTGACCTCCTCCCCTTTATTTACTTGATGTTAAACATTTATGTACAATTTTAAATTTCGTCGTTTCTAAACATTTTGAGTTAAAATTTTCATAGAAAAATAATTTTGGCCGCCTAAATCGGCTAAATGCCCCTATGTGCGCCCGTCCGTGCTTCTCGAACTATCGAAGACGTTTGAAATTGGGATAAAACCAGCCTTGGTTACCATTAACGCTAACGGTTGTGAAGTTAAACTGTGAAATTTCATTCAACATTTTTAAAATTTTTATTTTTTTTTCAAATTTCAGAGTAAAAACTCTCTCCCATCTTGGTTCAAGGTAAAAGTCTTGAACAGCGCTAAATCAGGCTTGTTGTTAGAGTGATATAAAATTGTGTGAAGGATGGACAGCTGCATGCAAATCATGAAAAATGCAATATACATATAACGCATTTTTCGAATTGTGGGGTTACAATTTTTTTCGTTTTTAAACAGTGGAATCGTGTTTCTTGTCTCAAAATTTATAATGTTTGGTGTAATAAAATATATAAGGATGTTTTTTTCAAAGAACACTATTTTGACAATTTTTTTGTGTTGTTAATCTGAATTAATATAAATCTGATCTTTTTGAAAGAAAAACAAAAGCTCGGGTTTTAAAGGAAAAGGTTGTGTTTGTTTTAAGGAAAAATTAAACAAAGCAACGAAGTCTGGACGTTAGAATGCACAGCTGATAGATCGGAGATCGCCACATCTTCTCATTAGACTTCCTTCTATACTTCAGCGGAGTAGAATCCACATCACTCAATATGTAAAGCCAGCACGACAACCGCTGAGCTAAGCATACCCAGTAAACTTTCGATTGTGTGCTGACGTTTCACATCGAGTAATACCGGTTGACCTCCCGCTGAGATCTATAAAGCAGTGTCGTTTGAAGATGTGGTGGTCACCGAATTAGCATCCATAACTTCTACCAATACTGGTATAAAAATCAAAAAGGTAGCCGAGTTTTTAGGTGTGTGTGTACTTATATTTGGTTGGGCCATGGTTTTATTCCTTCGACGAGAGTAACAGAAGTTTTTTTTTTCAATAGCGAGTCCTGCCTCGGTAAGTAATAGCAAGCATCCGAGCGAAACTACTTCTGCACACAAAAACCGTTTGAAGTCAAGATCAAGGCGGAGACGAAGCTCGACCAAACACTTAACAAACATGTGAGCGCCACATATTTTTTTATCTTACTTGAATATTAAACAAACCACTTAATTAATCTTTGACTTTACATACTTAAAAATGTAACGAATTTTTTTAATCATAACATTTTTCACAACACTTAAATTTGTATCTCAAAAATATTTGTACTCACCGCACGTGCATCAATTGGCGTGCCAAAGTGGCTTAATCCCAAAAGGATGACCAACCAAGACTGGAGCGTTGCAACACTATGCAGTGACATTTTGTGCGATCTTTAAATAGTTGGCTGCAACAGCAAATGAGAATTACAATTTCACTATGACAAGACACACAATAATAAATGTATTTATGTTCTAAGCAAATGTGAATACGATTGCAAAGCAATACTACTTAGCGCAAGCAGCACAGTTGAATAGAAGGACACAGCATATAATTTTTGGCACAAAGTCAACTTTACTTTTTTTAACTTTTAGTTGGACACCAAGATTTTTTCGTAACACTTTTTCAAATTTATTCCTTGTTATTTTTGTTGTTTACTTTGTCATGCCAAAAGGCAAGTTGTCGGCTGAAAAAATAAACCTACAAAAAATAAATCGTACAAATAATAAACACACGTGACTAACACAACGCGCACTAGTTTTTTTTTAGTACCATATACATAAATACATATGTATTGTATTTATATACATAAAATGTAAACACGTATGTAAACATAAACGTATGTATGCCAGTATGTAGTGCAAGCCGTAAGTCAAAGTCCTTTTCACTAAAAAATTCACTTTTGGCCGACGTACCGCGCCTACGAAATGAATATAAATTATTGAGGGCACTTAAACTTTCAAGTGAAAAGTAGCCGCGGGATAGCACTTCAAATGGCGCTGAAACAGAAAGTGTTGATGACAGAATGGCGGCAGACGCCCGACAGTCTGTTTATAACACAACAAAGCAATTCGAATGCGAGGCTACCGGTACTCAGCTTATTTTTATTTGCTTATGCTTCTCAGTTATTTAACTACTATGTACATAGTTAGGTATGTATTTTCTTTGTATCTGTATTAATAAATATTTACTTTTCCAAGCAACGCCTGTCGTGGCGTGGCAGACACTTAGCAAACCGTCACTGAAACACTAAACTTTTTGATTTAGCTCTAAAGTCACACGACTCGTTGCGATATGAGTACCGCACGCGTTCGCTGTCCGTTGGGTTCTGCTGTGCCAGACATTGCGACGCTTCTTTAAAAACCTATTGCATATCCTTTCGTGTGTTTTTCTTCAAGGGCGGCGAATTCAGGCCGAAAGCTTTGTTTGGTGGCGAATTCATTGCACGATGTTTCACGATTTGTGCCAGCTGGCGCTCTCAACTTCATGCCATGCAACAACTCTCTCAAGGACATTCGCTGCCATCAACTTGACAAAATTTTACTCCGCTTTTTCTCCTCTCTTCCACACTGATTTTCCTCTTATTCATTTGCTTTTTTCGTAATAATTTTTCGCGTGTTGCATTTTTGTTTTTGTGCGGCTTTTCTTGTTTCAATTGTGTCCTTTTTTTTTGTTTTTCTTACATTCGTCCCTTTCATTAAAGTTTTTATTTTGTGAGGTTTTTCATTTTGTTTTTCATTTCGCTCTGTCATCTAGCCGCTCAGCTGTTTTTTGGCCAAATAGCAACGCAATATTTCTAGCTTTCTGCAACTTTTTGTGTGCGTTTTCGTTAACTTCACAGATGTTTTACGCATAGGTTTATACTTACGTATGTACAAACATATGCATCTAAGTATTTACGAGTATATATGTGCACGCTAGCACGTTTCAAACTGTAGTTTTGTGCAAAACATCGCAGCTCACCCCCCAATAATCTTCGCTTGCACCCTTTGCATTTATTTCAACACAATTTTTGCTTTGACTCGCAAAATGGCTGCATTTGTATAAACGCATACTAATGCATTTACTACTCATATACTTCTTTGCCATTCATTAGTGTGAAATTTCATTTTCACTCAGCTCAACCCAATTCAACTTTTTTTGTGTAGATAGTGTTGCGACTTGAAATATCCTGTCAACGACAATGACATTAGCTTCGAGCATATTTCCTTCACTGACTTTTCTCTCTCACAAAGAAGAGTTTGGGACACGATGATAAATGCTTCAAAGGCATACATATATGTATGTACATAAGTATGTGTGCGTGCATGGTATGCTGCAAATAGTAGAACACATTGCGTATGAACACTTTATGAATAAAAAAATTAGTAGTGGGAAGAAAAAAACTGGTAAAAGTAGAGCAGATATGAATAAGGGTTTCAGTCAAATATAATTGGTTTACGGTACTTCGAAGCGCTAATGTTATTACTTAACACTTTCCGGAAACTTAAAATTTCGTAGCTTTGGAAAATCTTTTGTACAAAGTCAAATTGACATTTTTCAAAACAAATCAAACACTTCTGTGTTCATATGGAAAAGTAGCTTATGTCGAAAGGCTGGCTTTAGTATAAATCGGCATTCGCAGCATACGATTGCGAATGACTCACTGGCGCTAAGCCGTTAAACAACTTTTGGCATATAAACGTGGAAGAAATAGTTCCCATACTAGCAAGTCAATATTCTTATTAAGTCTCATCAAAAAATTCCTTGCCGTTTAAAAAATAAAGGGATTGCCGCATTATACTAAAGCCAGCCTTTCGACATAAGCTACTTTTCCATACGAACACAGACTTTATTAAAATAAACTCTTCTGGAGGTTCTGTAAAAATTTCAAAATCCAAAATGCTTCACAAAATATCTTACAGTTAAATTTGAAAACTAGAAATCTATATATTAATACGCTAACATAAATTTTGTCTCCGTTCGTTTGGCGATTCTACCGAACCGATTTCAAAACCAAGACCACCGTTGGAAAGGCATTTTTCCGTAGATGAGCAGAGTTTTTATGGTTTCACAATTGGTTAAAAATTACGGCCAAAACCGTCGTTTAAACATTTTCGAATTGTGTATAGATGTTGCTGCAACATGTTCAATTTGACATGTTTCGCCTGTTGTTTCACTACACATTTGAAATTAAGCTATGAAATAAAGATAAATATGAAGATGAAGAAATAAATGATAACGATGAAGTCAAAAAAAAAAAAGACAAAAGTGAAGATAAAGACGAAAATGGAGACAATGACAGATACATAAGAATTAGGGTAACTGAAAGGGTAAGAACATTTCTTGAATTTATGAAGTGAAACTTCTTTAGCGGCAGTTGGTCGGTTGGGAGTAAATTGTCAAATTCAAGGGGAATAATGCACATGGAAGTAGTTCTCAGCGGTTTAGCGGTTTGAGAATAAAAACAAAAACAAAGATGCCTAGAGGTACAGGCAAAAACGAAGATCAAAGTAAATTTAAACACTTTAAGGTAAAGGTGAAGAGGAATATGCAAAAATAAAGATAAATATGAAGAAAAGGATGAGGATGAAGTTCGATATTGTTATCGATATAAAACTCGATATTTTTATCGATATAATAATCGATATTACTATCGATAAAATAATCGATATTGTTATCGATACTGTTATTGATTAAATAACCGCTATTGTAATCGATATAATAATCAATATAATAATCGATATTGTTATCGATACAATAATGGATATTGTTATCGATACAATAATCGATTTAATAATTGATTTTGTTATCAATTTAGTCATTTATATTGTTAACGATTTGTGTAATAATCGATACTGATGATTGTTATATTTATCGAAAAATTAATCGATTTTACAATCCTTTTATTTTTCTATATGTTTATGGATATTGTTATCGGTATTTTTATCGACACAGTTATCAACAGGGTTATCGATATACTAATCGGAACATGGAATGTGATCACTTTACATGACATCACATCACTCACATGATATGAAGAGACATCACATAATATGATATGATATCACATCACACGATATCACGTGACATGACATTATATGATATGACATAACATTATATGGCATGACATCACATGACTTGACATCACATGACTTGACATCACATGATATGACATCGTATGACATGACATGGCATTACATGACAACACATGACATGACATCCTATCACATCACATAAAATCACGTCACATCTTATCACGTCATCGCACCTCATCTCATCTACGTGAATAGAAAAAGAAAAGGATATAAGCAAAGATGTGAAAGATAAAAACAAAGATGAAGACCAAGGTAAATTTACCGATTTCAAAACCAAAAACACCATTGGAAAGGTAATTTTCTGTAGAAGAGGAGAGTCTTTATAGTTTCGAAATTGGTTGAAAATCGTGGTTTAAAAATTTCCAAATTTGTGTATGGTTGTTTTTGCCACCTGTTCAATTTAAGCTGTTTCACATTTTTTTTACTTCATATTTGAAATTAAGCTTTGAAATAAAGATAAATATGAAGATGAAGAAACAAGTGATAACGATGAAGACAAAAAAAAGGCAAAAGTGAAGATAAAGACGAAAATTGAGATAAAGGCGAAAATGGAGACAATGAGAAGTACATAAGAATTAGATTAACAGAGTTGAAATTTTCTGATAGGAATCGAAATAATAATAATCGAAATTGTCGGCCGCTGTGGTGTAGTGTTAAGCAGTGCGCGCTTTCACTCATCAGCACCTGGGTTCAAGCCCTGGTCAAAGCAACTTCGCAAAAAAATATAGAAAAATGTTTTTTCTTAACCTCCGAGTGTATTTCTGTCATGAAAAACAGCTTTTCATAAAAATACAATCGCCGTTCGGAGTCGGCGTAAAACTGTAGGTCCCTCCGCTTTGTGTGACAACATCAAGGCGCACGCCACAAGTCGGAGGAGAAGCTCGGCCAAACACTAACATATGTGTAAGCGCCAATCTATTATTATTATTAATCGAAATAAAATCAGCCATAAAGGTTACTGAAATTTATCGAATCATCGAAGTTTATAATTATCGAAATTTATCCATGCTTATTAAGTTATCGCAACGTATCGAATTATTCAAACTGATTCAATTTATTGAGTTGTCGAAATTTATAGACACAGAAACTTAGTTGTCCAAATTTACGGATAGTTATCGAGCTATAAAAACGTGTGGGATTAACGAAATTGGTCAAGTTAAAGAAGTGTATCAAGTTATCGATATTTATTGAATTATCATTATTTATAGACTTAACGAAATTTATCGAGGTGTCGTAATGCATGGAGTTCTATCAACTTTTATTTAATTATAGAGTTATCGATAATTATTGATCTACTGAAATTGGTTGGTTCCACGAATCGAAGTTTATGGAATTTTCAAAATATATCGATTTATCGAAATTTCAAGGTTATATAAGCTTATCGATTTATCATTGCTTATCGAATTTTATCGTGTTAATAGAGTGTAACGAGTTATCAAAATGTTTAGATAGTTTTCGAAAACTGTGGAGCTGTCAAAAGTAAAAATTTATAAAGGTATCCAAAGAATTTACATTTCTGAGTTATCGAAATTTATCGAGCCTTTTAGTGTTCTTGAAATTCATCGAACTATCGATATGTATCAAATCATTGAAATTTATCGATAAACTTAAATGTATCGGGTCAATTCCATGTCCTGCCGAAGTCCTCCAAAGACCTTCTCAGATAAAAAAATGTTAGTTACATTTTAGTTCCAAAGCAGAAGATTTTCCGGTTAGTTAATTTGTACCGTATAAGTTTTGCTACGTGTTAAGTTAGAAAACCTCTCCAAGGCTTCTAAAACTATAAAAACTGTCGAATTTCTCCATTTTCTGATGAACTTAGAAAACTTCTTTAGCTCGTATAGACTGTTGATGTTAAGTTATGTCATGCTATGTTATGTTTTAATGTTATTTGGCTCTTGGTTATTAAAATTTTCGGGTGATAAAAAAATATTAAATTAAAAAGCTACTTGTTATCGTAGTCGTTTTTTTAAATTTATGGCTTACTATTATAAAATCACATAACGCTGTTTGCAAGTGGACTAAGTACTCACGACTGAACTATACTTATGAAGAGTTACATACCATTTAGAAAGGTATTTTGATGCTGATGTGCAGAAAACTACTGAAATTTCAAATAAGTTTAACATAAAGTGAAGAAATCAACTCAAAAGTGACACCAATACCAGTGCCATAAATGTACATGGTTGGACCGGAAATGCCACCTAAATGTATGCTTTAATATTGTTACTGAAATAGAGAAA